AGCACGGCGCACCATTACCTTGACTCAGTCACACATGGTGCAGCAGGTCCTTCAGCGCTTCGACTTCCAGTACTCCTCGCCACAGTCCACTCCTCTGCCTACCAGTCACTCGCTCTCAGCTCCACCTTTGGACGAGTCCGTAGAGCCGAGTGGCCCGTTTTCAGAGCTTGTGGGCTGCCTCATGTACCTGATGACCTGCACTCGACCTGACCTTGCCTACCCTCTTAGCATCCTGGCACGCTACGTTGCGCCCGGGAGACACCGACCAGAGCACTGAGAGGCCGCTAAGAGGGTGATGCGCTACTTGTGCATTACGTCGGGCATGGGGCTTGTGCTTGGAGGACGGGCTCGAGTTGTCCTCACTGGACACGCAGACGCTTCTTGGGTTGACGACTTGGCTACGCAGCGGTCGTCACAAGGTTACACCTTCAGCCTTGGCTCCGGCTCTATTTATTGGCGGTCTACCCACTCGCCTTCTGTTCCCAGTTCCAGTTGTGAGGCTGAGATCTACGCAGGGGCCATGGCTGCATCGGAGCCGCCTCGTTCTCCTCCAGTTTCTGTACGTCGACAACAAGGCCATGATTGCCTTGTGTCAGGAGCACAGACTGGAGCACAGGATGAAGCACATCGCTCTGCGCTACTTCCTTGCTCATGAGTTGAAGCAGCGTGGTCAGCTTCGTCTTGTTTACGTGGCCTCTCGGGCCAACACTGCTGATATCTTCACCAAGGCACTTCAGCCTTGTGATCATCAGCGTTTCTGTACTGTTCTAAGCCTTGTGCCTACTTGGCCTCACTTGCTCACTTCTTAACTTTCCTTGTACTGTGATCTATATACTTATACCTGCATGCTTATACTTGCTAGGTTGTGATCACTGTACTGCTTGTTCTACTTTATATAACTCTGCATGTGAACTGGCCTTGTGGCCATTTGCTTGTGCTCAGAGTGTGTGGTGACTTCGTGATCCACCCTGAGCTTGCTTGCTTTTCTTGACTGGTCTTGTGACCTCTTGTTCCCCCCCACTTTGCCTATGGGGGTGTGTCAAACTTGTATCGTACATGTTGTGTAGGTTGTAATGGGGTAGCCCATATGGGGTACAATCCAATTAGGGTTTGCTACTTGTACTCCTGCATGCTGCTAGTTCATTCATTCCTGCTCATCACATTCTGACACCTTGATCCTGCCTCGATGTCAAGACTTGATCACGTTTTGCCGCGAAAAGCCCCTTTCACACTCCACAGTGCCCAGGGAAATGACAACCACCGCTACCCACAGCTGCACGAGGTTGGGGTAACTCTCCCGTGATGCTAGTGTGGAAGGTCCTCTCTCCCTTAGGGCCAGCTGCAAGGACGGAGAAAAACAACCGAAGCTCCTTGCATGCCAGCCTCTTGTTGATGCCTGGAAGGGCAGTTTCACACGGAGGGGGAATAAAAAATATGATTTTAGTGCAGATACAGAAATAAAGGAGAATCAAGCATGGCACTACACCATACATGGTATTGAACGCTCACCTGGTACGATCTCTTTGCGGTCCTATGCCTTGAACATCGTCATCAGCGAGTAAAGCCATTCCTGACAGCGTGCATGTCGCTCCGCTTTGCAGTGTGGCCAGGCATCAGGCATGAAGAGTCGGACTCCAGAGAGAGAGTCCTGGTCTCCAAGCCTCCCCAGCAGGTTCGCCACAATGCGTTCGGCGAAGTCAGTGCACATGCATCCTTTGTGATGCTCTGGGCCGCTGTACGGATCCACGGGTTTGTCGTGAAGTGTGAAGTTGAATGATGCTGGACAACCATCAGAGTCGATCCCCTCCACTATCACGTTGCGGTTACATCCTAGGCCATGGCGCTCTAGAAAAGGCGAGAACCAGTGGCTCATGCCACCACCGAAGTCATCCCCAGTCCACGTAGCGGCTCCCAATGTGTGAGGTGGTCCGCTTGATCTGCGCGTGTAAAGAGACAAGGTCCAACTGGAAAAGGGAAAGGCACAAATTCATCAATTAGAGCACCATAGTAAAGCGAATCTGCAAGCAGTCAACATTGAATTCTCACCTGTCGCTGCTGGAATGTCTTGTTCAAGATGTTCAACTGCTCAAGCACATAAGCTAGGAAAAAACGAAAACAGTAGGAGGTCGCGAGAGCATACGTCCTGCTGTTTAGCTCCTTCGGCATGACAATCACTGCCGGAAACGCAGCAATGAGATGACGGCTTGCATCCCTCCGAGACAGCCAGCGAATCTGGTGAATGCTTTTGGAATTCAAGGCTCGTCTCGGTGAAGAGCTCTTGCGTGGCGTGGACTGGACCGTCCCTGAAGCTCAGACACGGCCCAGATGAGATCGTTCACCATGTCAAAGACTGGAAGCGCTTCTACCGCGTACTTTGCTGCTAAAGCCTCCCAGCAAAGGAATAACACGATAAAAATTCATTAAGGAAAACAAGGAAACATTAAGCAAACACATAACTGTAGAAACTGCACAAGCACCTGTGGGCGATGCAGTGACATGAGACGAGGTGTGGGATTCTTTCTCGTAGATGAACAACCAGGCCCAATCGACTCCCCATCATCACTTTCGCCGTCGGTGCTGATGAAAAAAATCCGCCTGCAAGTGGGAGAGTGGGATTCTAAAAAAAGATGAGGCGTCAGCTTTATCCACTGTCAGCAGCCGCATGAACTCGGTCACGAGCACATTGTTGCAGATGAAGGTGGCGTATAGTATCATGTGCTTCCCCCTGCATCTATCAGTGCTCTTGTCGATGCTGATGCCAATGAAGGGGCTTATTTGCTCCAGCTGGGTTGTCTGTAGCCAGGTTGCAATAGACTGCGTGAGCTCACCGTAGCCGTACCTGCCAGTGTAACCCAATAAAACATTAGAATAACATAATAAAAGGTAATATAAAGTACAACGACCAACGTAGCCGAGTTGTACTCACGTAGTGTAGTAGGTGCCGTAGCCTTTCTTGGGAAAGCCATGAACCCTCTTCCGCGCAAGGTATTGCACCAACTTCACCCATGTTCCCATGGGTGCATCGCACTGACTGACGAAGAGCAGCGCATCGAGCAGGGCAACCACACGAGTCTTCTCTGCATCAACGGCTGCACGATGCTCATCGATCCGTGGCTGCTTAGTCGCTGCAGCCAGCAGTGCCTCCTGCTTTTCCATCGCCAGCTTGTGCTTTGTCGTCCCGGCGTGCTTGCAAAATGCCTGCGTCTGCACGTCAGCCATCCCTTTTCCGGTCCTGCCACATCGTCCCCTAACTCCAGCATGCTTGGAGCATACACTGCACTTGAAAGCAGGCAAACCATATTATGCTTTCGTTAGTACTAGCCGAAAAGTGCCCAGACCACTTCGCTTTGTATTTTTCGAAGACGTCGGCATAGACTGCATCGATGAGTTCTGCAATATTGAGGTCCAGGGATGGTTGAGCGGTGGAGTTGTTCTCGAACTGCGGCGCTGGATGATGCCCTTGCGAAACTCAACGTGCAATGCTTGAGCTTGATTGTGCGCGGAGCTGAAGATTTCGAGGCAGTTTTCTCGACAATCACCGTGTCGGAAACGTCAGCCGGCGCAACATGTTCAGCTCGGATAGAATCCGGGCTTGAACAAAGGAGTGGGGGGTCACTGACGTTGGGAACACGCCCTACAGTAGTCGGCCCTGGTGCATGTATATCCCGGCCTAGCGAGCGAAGAAGCAAGTCTAGCCCCGTCCTGGCTTCCTCGATGTCGTCTTAATCGGGGTCGTCTAGGTCTGCACCATCGTCGTCACTCAGGCCTTCGACATGGCCATCCATGGCTGAACGACGGTGAGAGCGTGCCGAGCTGTGAGTTGACAGAGAGGGTTGGGAATGAAACAGCAGGCGAGGAAGGGAATGGGATTGCAGCTGGCTGGGTAGGGTATCCAAGAAAGAGTTGGTGAAGGAGGGTCAGTTGTTCTCACCACTCTGATGCAACGCGACGTGACAACAAGCATCATGCACGTACCTGGTTGCAGGTTCGGGGTGGGTGAGGTGGGGGTCCTTGTTGTTGGGCCACGCTGTGGGTTGCTGCGCTGAAACGAGTGGTGTTGTTCAATTCCTATTCGCCACTAAATGATGTGATTGCCTACACAGCCAATCACGCATCAACACGCCTCATGTCGGCGACAACCAGGGCCCTAGATTCGTTTTGAGGCACGCTGACGGCACAGCGTGCATCCCTCCTTGTACTCTGTCTGTCAGTGTTGCTTCAAAATTTTAGGCTGGAGATTCAGAGACACACAACTTTCCTAGGCTGAACAATCAGCGTTATCTAGAATAATTTGTTACTGATCATGCAGGTTTGTAAAACCCTTGTTATAAACATTTCCTCACATATCTGAATCAGAGTCTGACTGATAACGTTCTACAGGGGCACGATCAGCTACTGGCTCCTCCTCTACATGCTCTTTGCCAGCTCTTGGAGGGTCCCTGTGTCTTGCAGCAGGTGCTGTGACTGGACGGCGCTTCTTGTAGCTGCGCCACATTTTAACTACTCCTGGCAAATGTAGCTCGTACTCTAGTAATGACATGCACAACAAATCACTGAGCCTGCAGTCCTTGATACTGCCTCTCTGCCACGTTTTCATGAGGTTCTGTCGAGAGAAACCTCTCTCACACTCAACAGTGCTGAGAGGCAACACTGCTACCGCCACCCATAGGTTGACAAGGTTGGGGTATGCCTGCTACCAATCGGGAGTCTTGAGGATGGCTGCCAGTCCCGAATGGAACTTCCGCTCGATCTTAGGAGCCCTGGCCAAGACCGGGCAAAGAGTCCTCAGCTCTTTGAGCGCCCGCTTTTTGTCAATGCCTGCGATGTAAGTAACAATGTGGAGGGTATTAGTTTAATACGAGAGGGCAAGTGTCAAACGTGTGCACTGAATGACCAAGCAAATACTAACCTGGCAGAATCTCGGGCGAGTCGTCGGCGTGAAACAGAGTGGCGAGCGACAACAGCCACTCCAGACACTGAGCCTGCCTAGCCTGCCGATCCTAGTTTGGTGGCCACATGTCCGTGATGAAGAGCCGCACTCCAGCCAGCGAATCGAGGTCACCAAGCTTTGACTGGAGATTGTTGACGAGCAGCTCGGCCATGTCGGTGCAGAGCGCGACACAGGCGTCATGATGGCCGGGTCCAAGGTAGTTCTTGTTTTTGCGCTCGTGAAGGTCGAAACGGAAGCGGTTCATGCTGCCGTCCGACGAGGCACCTTCCACCACCATCTGCGGCGACCCTTGTGGCCCGTGCTTGGCGATGAAGCGATACAGAAGCTCGCTGGTGCCGCCGCCGAAATCATCGCCACAGTCGATGTAGCGGCTCTCCAGGAGAGAGGTTGTGCGCACGATCTGAGTGTGCACGAGTGGGTAGTCGAGGTGCCACACACGAATCACACCGGTAGTTAGTACCAGTACTTCAAATAACAATAATCTGAAAAACAAATGAACCATCACTTACCTCTCGATGCTGGAAAACCTTGGAGAGGACGTCCAGCAGATCCAGCACGTCCGCTAGAAACCTCACAAGGAACTGGAAGCGATACGACGTTTCCAACTCGTACATCGTCTGGTCCTTCCACTCGGACAGCATCACAATAATGGCGGGCATGACTTTGACGAACCGCGACACTGCAGCACCCCGCGACAGCCATCGAACCTCGTGTATGCCTTGCACCTCGAGGTTCGTGGATGTGAAGACCTCTTGGAGCTCCATGAAGCGTTGATGCCAAGGACCTGAACGCCCAAGGTACTCCGCGACGGATGACGTCGTCGACCATGTTGAAGGTGGGGATCTCTTCTGCTGCAGCTTTTGCTTCTCTGCAAGTAACACAACACACACAAGATTGTAGAGTTATATAGCAACACTACCTTAAACATGCTGTTAAAAATGCAGACATACCGGTGTGCGATGCAGTGGAACGAGACGAGGTTGGGGATGAGCATTCGGATGCGTGCAACCACTCCTGTATGCTGCCCCACCATGACCATCGCGCCGTCTGTGCTCATGCCCGATATTCGGCGGAGGTCCATGCCGACAGCCCTGAGGTGGGAAAGGAGCAGGCTTGAAAGGGATGCAGCGTCGGCCTTCTCAACAGTGAGATGTGCGAGGAACTCGGTGACGACAACGCCATCGCGGATGAAGGTGGCAAACACAATCATGTGTTTGCCACGTCGCCGATCGGTGCTCTCGTCCAGCGTGATCCCGATGAAGGGACTCGTTAGAAGATGCTCCAGCTGCGTTGTTTGGAGCCAAGTCGCGATTGCTTGAGTCAGCTCACCTTAGCCGTACCTGTAAAAGGAAAAACATCACGGTAGTGAGCGACAAACGAATTGTAAAAGCATGAATCACTTACGTGTTGTAGTACGTGCCGTATCCATTCTCCGGAAACCCGGGCACCTTCTTCTTCGCAAGGTAGCGCACAAGCCGGATCCATGAGTCCATGGGCTCGTTGCACTTGCTCATGAAGTACAACGACTCCGCTAGTGCCGAGATCTGCACCATCTCCTTGTCCTGCGCCTTGGGGTGTAGATCGATGCGGCGTTGTCCCTCCACTTTATGCAGTTTGATAATATAACAAGAGGTACAGTGATCACAACCTAGCAAGTGTAAGCATGCAGGTATATATATAGGGATCACAGTACAAGCAGAGTCAAGAAGTGAGCAAGTGAGGGACAGTAGGCACAAGGCCTAGAACAGTACAGAAACGCTGATGATCACAAGGCTGAAGCGCCTTGGTGAACACATCAGCAGTGTTGGCCCGAGTGGCCACGTAAGCAAGACGAAGCTGACCACGCTGCTGCAGCTCTCGAGCAAGGAAGTAGCGCAGAGCGATGTGCTTCGTTCTGTGCTCCAGTCTGTGCTCCTGACACAAGGCAATGGTGGCCTTGTTGTCGACGTACAGCATTGGAGGAGAACGAGGCCGCTCTCCCAGGTCGGTCAGCAGGTAGGTGAGCCAGCGTAACTCCTGGGCAGCCATGGCTGTGGCGTAGATCTCAGCCTCACAAGTGGAGCTGAGAACTGAAGACGAGCGTGTAGAACGCCAAGAAACTGAACCAGAGCCAAGGCTGAAGGTGTAACCCTGAGACGACCGCTGAGTAGCCTGGTCGTCAGCCCAAGAAGCGTCTGAGTGTCCAGTGAGGACAACGTCGCTCCGTCCTCCAAGCACAAGCCCCATGCCCGACGTACTGCACAAGTAGCGCAACACCCTCTTAGCGGCATCCATGTGCTCCTTCCTGTGACGGCCAGGAGCGACATAGCGTGCTAGGATGCTAAGAGGGTATGCAAGGTCAGGTCGAGTGCAGGTCATCAGGTACATGAGGCAGCCCACAAGCTCTGGATACGGGCCACTCGGCTCTACGGACTCATCCGAAGGCAGAGCTGAGAGCGAGTGACCGGTAGGCAGAGGAATGGGCTGAGGCGAGGAGTACGTGAAGCGGAAGCGCTGAAGGACCTGCTGCACCATGTGTGACTGAGTCAAGGTGATGGTGCGCTGTGCTGTCCCGGGTGATCCGCAAGCCAATATAGCTTGTCAGCTCACCCAGGTCTGTGCACGTGTGTCTCTTCTGCAGCTCCGACTTCACGTGGGCGAGTGCCTCAGTGTCAGCAGTAGCAAAGACCAAGTCGTCTACGTACACGAGAACGTAGAACGGCGGCAGAGTGGTGTCGGTGCGTAGAAACAGCGACGGGTCAGCAGTAGAAGGAGCAAACCCAAGAGCAGCAAGAGTAGTCCTTAGTGTGTCGTGCCACTCACGAGGTGCCTGGCGGAGACCGTAGACTGGCCGCCAGAGGCTCCACTGGGTACCAGCAGGAAACGACCCAGTGAAGCCAGGTGGGCGGCGCAGCCAGATCTCCTCGTGCAGGCTGCCCTGTAGGAACGCAGTGCTGAAGTCAAGAGAGTGGAGCTCGTAGTCACGCTGAGCGGCGACGTGCAGCAGAACCCGAAGAGTGGTCATCTTCGGGGTCGGGGAGAAGGTCTGGAAGAAGTCAACTCCCTCTCGCTGACTGAAGCCTCGTGCAACGTAACGCGCCTTGAAGACAGGCGGAGAACCCGGCGGCCGCTTCACCCTGAAAATCCACATGCCACTGACGATGTTCGCCCCAGGTGGGGGAACCTCGTCGACGTAGGTGCCTGTGGACTTCCAGGAAGCCATCTCTGCGTCCATGGCTGTCTGCCACTGAGAGGAGTAGGGACCCTCCATCTCCTCTGCGTAAGAGCGTGGGGTCGGGATGTCTGGTGCATCCGGGTCTCCCTCAGGGGCAATCAGCATGGACACGAGATGAGGTAAAGCAGCGGCAAAGCACTCAAACTCCTCCTGTCTGTCCTCAAGGACGTCCGTGCCAAGAGCACACTCACCCCCGACGGACGGAGGACAGACAGACTCAGACTCAGCAACAAGGCTAGCGGCGTAGTCTAGACGACAGGCGGCAGCAAAGTCAACAAGCTCAGCGACTAGAGCAGACGCAGCAGAGGACTCAAAGGAAGGGTCAGTGACAACAGTGGCGAGGAGACGCGTGACAGTAGGACTGGCAGCACGAGCAAGGTCTGACGGCGGGTCAGCAACGTCAGGAAGAGAGGACGCAGGAGGAGACGGCAGAGGGACACACTGTGGAGCAGTGGAAGGACGCATAGTCATATAGTGAGTGCCAAGTACAGGAGGAGGACGCTGATGCGGAGCTCGACGACCAGCGCGGACAGCGCGGACAGGCGACTCAGGACGAGACGCAGGCGACTCAGGACGAGACTCAGGCGACGCAGGACGAGACTCAGGCTCACGACGCTCCGTAAGACCTCTAGTCGGTCCAGCGTAGGGAGAAGGACCAGGCAGTGGAGAGGCAAGCGGTAATTGTGACTGCGACTGGACAGGTGGTGGACTCAGTAGGGGAGGAGAAGGGCCAGCGGAGGGTGGGAGGCCAAGAACCTGCTGAAGGAGCGGAACGTAGTACGGCCGCGGCCGCTCAGCACCTCCTGAACCAGCAGAGACAGCACCAGCACCCTCAGCCCCAGGCTCTCCAGCACCAACTCCCGCAGCACCACCAGCAACACCAGCAGCTCCAGTACCTCCAGCTCCAACCCCCGCAGCAGCTCCAGTACCTCCAGTACGAGCACCTCCAGAACCAGCGGCTCCAGCAGCTCCAGCACCAGCAGTACCTCAAGTAGCTCCAGCACCAGCAGCACCTCCAGCACCAGCAGCGCCTCCAGCAGCTCCAGCACCAGTAGCGTCTCCAGCAGCTCCAGCTCCAGCAGCACCTCCAGCAGCACCACCAGCAGCTCCTGCGCCAGCAGCACCAGCACCAGCACCAGCTCCAGGGTCCGCGGCACCGGCCGCAGCTCCAGCTCCCGGGTCCTCGGCACCAGCAGGGGCTCCAGCTCCCGGGTCCTCAGCACCAGCAGCAGCTCCAACTCCAGCAGTGCCTCCAGCAGCTCCAGCACCAGCAGCACCTCAAGCACCAGCAGCGTCTCCAGCAGCTCCAGCAGCACCACTAGTAGCTCCTGCGCCAGCAGCACCAGCACCAGCACCAGCTCCAGCTCCAGGGTCCGTGACACCAGTAGCGCCACTCTGGAGACTGCAGCGCCGAGCGTACCACTCTCGGAGCCGCTGAGGAGAGGGCAGCTCCCGCCTAGGAGGGGAACCACGAGCACCAGCTCCAGCAGCACCCCTAGCTCCAGAAGCGCCCCTCTTGAGGCTGCAGTACTGCGAGTACCACTCCCGCAGCTGCTGTGAGGAGGGAGCGCCTCCAGGCGCAGCACGGTCAGTCGCAGCACCCTCTGGCTCAGTACCCTCAGACGTAGCACTCTCAGGCTCAGCACCCCCAGACTCAGCACCCCCAGACTCAGCACCCCCAGACTCCATACCCGCAGGCTCCGCACCCCCAGGCTCAGCACCCCCAGGCTCCGCACCCCCAGGCTCCGCACCCCCAGACTCAGCACCCCCAGGCTCCGCACGCTCAGGCTCAGCACCCCTAGCAGGACGAGAGTCGACAGCTACCTCGACAGGCTCAACCGGGTCTACCTGGGACACACCTGAGGGAGCGGCACCCTGAGGGGGGAGGGGGTCTACCACAGCAGCACCTGGTGCGAGGAAGAGAGGCGGGGGGGGGAGCGGGTCAGTGCGGTAGGGGAAGAGGCGGTAGTAGGGGACCGACTCGTCGAAAGTGACGTCCTGAGAGGGCAGGACACGGCGCGAGGTGGCGTGGTAAAACTGCCAACCAGACGCGTCCGGGACAAAGCCAAGGAACAGCGCGGGAGGAGAGCTTGTCCGCGGACGTATCGCGAACAAAAGCTCGAGATCCCCAGACCCGGAAACGCGACGCATCGCCAACCTCTCCCGTCCAACGCAGTGTCGGTGAAGTCTCCGGAACGGAGACACGGGGCCAGAGGTTGAGCTGATGCGCAGCGTATCGGACCGCAAACGGCCACAGAAAGTGGGGGGCAGCCGCATGGATCAAGGAGGTACGAGCGACCTCCATGACCAAGCCAATGCGGCGCTCAGCAACCCCATTCTGCTGTGGAGAGGCCGGAAGCGTGAACGACTGCTCAATGCCCTCCCCCTGACAGAAGGCCC